TATATTTACATCCAGTCATTCACGGCCGACAAATACAATACATTCACTTTCACTTGTTTGCCTTTTGTTACTTAATTTTGTAAGACACTATAACTTTTTATTTTTTCCCACCTTCGTTTTTTCATTTTCAATTTTTCCCACCTCCTCTTCCTAATTTTTTGGGACGAGCAATATGTATTTTTATGCTTATGAGACGAATTGTGTATTTTTTATTTCATTATTGTTTTTTTTTTAATTTTTAGGTCCAAATAATATTTTTTGGCCCAAAATTAAAAATAAAAATTAAACCCAAAATGAAAAAAATTCGTTGTTATTCGAGTTACAAACTTTTTATCTCATGCTATATTCACATATATGCATCATATTTATTTAAAATTATACCTATTTATAGAGTCGTTAGGTCTTTTCGTTAATTTTTTTTAAAAAATATCACATAAATATGGTCGATAAATAATTTTATAGATATTAATTTTTTTATTTTCTAAACAGATTTAATTAATAATTTATTTTTTATTTATGAAGTTAGATATAATTTTTTTATTTATTACATTTAATATTTATGTCAAACCCATCTAAAAAAATATTATAAATTAAATTCCAAAAACTATTTTTTAATCAAAATATTCTCTCAAATTTCAGGAACATATTTTGAGCCGACTCCAAACGCCACCTTTGGTTAGCGTCTCGGCGACGCGCCACCGTTCCCTCTTTATCCTCGGTTTCACTATTCGATCCCAAATTCAATAACCAGCAGCACATATATACATTCAATTTGAGTGAAAAACCCCCTATAAACCCTAAAACCATGCCTCCTAAAAAGGATCTCTGCAGAAATTTTCAGCACGGAAGGTATATGCTTTGTTCTTTCTGTTCGTTTATCTTTCTTAGCGCCGCTCTGTAATCAATGGTTGTTTGGATTTGGTTCTGAGTGACTTCGAATTTGTTTTCTTCTGGGTTTAGAATCATTACCTTCTTTTCTAAACGGGTAAATTCAAGTTTTCTTGCTCTTGTTATGGAACGCACACGCGTGATTTTCACTTTTCAGTAGTGTTTTCATTGCTTCATTGAACTGGTTTTGCACTTTTGTTGAGCTCTGTTTTCATCTAGCTTGCTAATGATTGAAGTTGTATTGTCGATTTGCTCATTCAGTCGCTAATGGTGTCCGGTCCTGTTTTGAGATGAAGGATTAATTTGTCATTGGTTGCTTCTTTAAAAATTAAAGGGTCTGTATCTTGTTAGCTGTTGCTTTCCTTTGTATCATGTTAGATCATTTCCTCTTTTTTGTGTCAAAACTTCAGTTCAGTTCTGTTATGTATCTGTTTCTGCAGATGCTATGATATTTTTTATGATATGCTGCATTTTGTGTAAATACGTTAACTTCGTAGTCTTATCTGCCCCATCTATAATTGACTGTTTTTTTTTTTCAGTTGTCGATATGGCGATCGCTGTAAGTTTATTCATGCTATGCCACAACAACAACAACCAAAAAGCAACCCTTTTGGATTTGGAGTGCAAAATGGCAGTCCGTTTCAGCAAACAAATCAGCAGCAACAGATGTCAAACCCTTTTGGTTTTGGTGTTCAGAATAATAATAAGTCGAGAGGGGGCAATGACTTTGGATCTAAACCAAGTCAATTCAAGGTTTTTTTCGATTGCTTGTCGTTCTAATAATTTTTTAAGTGACATGCGTTGTTGTAGTAGGTTATTGACGTTTCTTATATCTTAAAAAAAAAAAATTCTTACTAATATGTTGGCATATACTGTCTGTGAGTGGCTCATTTTCTCTTGATTTCTTTGACCCCAGCCATTCGAGAATAAATGGTCACGTGGTGCATCTGCTTCACAACAATCTCAAAATCAGCAATCTGCCACTGTTCATAAGTGAGTGAATCTCTTCAATTTTTAGTTTACAGAGGCCATCCATTGTCCTTTGTTGAAGTATATTAATAAAATTTGGGATTGATGGCTGCGGTTTTGATGTATGCCAATAGGTGCACAGATTCTGAGTCCTGCAAAAGAGTAATTGTGGAAGATCTTGAAAATGAGAGGCCCCAATGGAAGCTTACTTGTTATGGTCACGATAAAAAGTATGATGTTCTAGCTGACATAATTGTAATTATTGCATTAACTTGTATTCATGATAGATGCTGATGATCTACTATTTTGTTTTGGTTAAGTTAGTACTTTTTTTGTAATGAATAAAACATGACCTGATGGCCTATATTATCTTATATTTCAACTTGCAATGTATGATCTCAGTATATTTGGTTTATGTGATTACAAAGTCTATTTTCTTTTTGTTTTCCAATAACAAAGTTGTGCTATGCCTCCAGTGGTTCCTGTGACATTGTTGGTGACGTCAGCTGTGAAGAGTTGCGCGCATTAGCATATGATGACTCTAGGCAGGGAAAAAGTTTGCAGCTCATTGTAAGACAATATGCACTTACGGACTAGCCATTTTGGCTTGTGTTTACGATATGTACTGCTTTGCAAATTATCTTTTGTGGGAGCTTCTCATAGCGTTAACTTTCTTTAATCTCATAGCTTTACTTGCCTGAGTTACCAATGTTATTCTTCTTTTCCAGATCGAGAGAGAACGGAATTTGCTTAATTCTAAGCTAGTTGAGTTTCAGAACCTCATCCAGAAACCATATGTTATATCTTCATTTGCTAATCCGAGCACCCAAAACCCGTTTGGTGGAGGCAATGCAAGCACTCCAGCTATGAACAATACTTTTCCTTCACCGACATCAAGTTTTAATCAAGTTGGTGCCTCACCAAATACTGGGTCAGGACCGAGGAACTTTTAGCTTATTGTTCTTTTCTCATAATCCATTCACTTGGATAGCTTTGGATATTTCCACATCCTGGTGTTTCTTTTCTTTTTCTTTTGATTATTATTATTCTTTTTTTTTTTCATTCTGCCTCTAGGCCTGCTGCTTTGCCTAATTATACCTTCGGCCAACCAACTGCTGTCCAGAACAACAGTCAGCCTTCTAACATGTTGCAGACCAACAATTCACCTTTTAGCACTCCAGGTAATATTTATGTTTTGTGGCTTGTTGCTATTTAGTGAAGTATTCATGCGTGCAAACTTTGATCTCTGACTTTATATTCTGTTAGGCACCTTTGGCAGCAAAACTCCAAACCAACCTGTTCAAAGCTCATTTCCTTTTGGTTCAAATAGTGCACAGACAAATCCTTTTTCAACATTAGCCAACTCAGCCCAGACGAATCCTTTTTCAACATTAGCTAACTCAGCCCAGACAAATCCTTTTTCAACATTAGCTAACTCAGCCCAGACGAATCCTTTCTCAACATTAGCTAACTCAGCCCAGACAGGGAATGCGTTTGCTAAACAGTCAAACTCAGTCTTCAATGGGCTCAATTCAGCTTCTAGCGGTGTTGGCCAGTCCACCATAAGCGTCCAGTTAACGTAAGTTATTATTTTTATTTTTTTTCACTAATCTAAATATGCTTCTTCTTTTCTTGTGTAAAAGCTAGCATACTTATGGCTTGTGAGCTTTTTCTAGTTTAATCAACCTTGAAAAATTCATTAAACATTAATGATAAATTAAATTAGTTTAATTTATCGCAGAGAAAGTACAAAATGAGCACACGGTCTTCTTTCTAATCTCTGTTATTTCAACTTGTCCAATAGGTTTGCTGCATTTAGAATTTTAGATACAAGGCAGTTGCCCCCCTCGTTGTAAATATTTTGATTTTTGATCTCCTTTCATCTTTTTCTTTCATTTGGACTGAAGGATTTGTATTTGAGAATTTGGTTTCAAAGAAGAATTTAATAAAACTTATTTGAAATCCACCGTGCATGCTGCAAAGAACGAGTCAAAATTTGAGCTATTATATCATTAGCTTATCCTAATAAGTATTGAACTTATTATGGACTCAGAATCTATTGTGTAAAGTCCGTCAACCAGATGAAGCTCTTGCTTATGGCGATCTTTTTGTCTATGTTCCGTAAAGTGTTAAGGGTGTGATATGGATACTCACACCCTAAGTTACGCTATGTTTCAATTGTGCTCATGATAGCTTTTCTTGTGCAGAAATAGCACTCCAGTGGGGAACTCTAATGTGGACGATAGCATATGGAAAAAATCTGAATGGAAGTGGAATGTTGGAGAGGTGAATAGTGATTATGCTTTTGATGCATGAATTTAGTGGCTTAATTAACTTAACAGTGTCCATACATTGATTATGACCAAAATCTGATATGCATCTGTTGAAATTTTCCAGATCCCAGAAGAGGCACCTCCAGATATATACATTCACTAGAGCCCAGCAATGTTCGGGGGTTCGTGATTTTATGCTTAACCTGTTTTGCGGAATCGTGTACGTAACTTTCATCACATTACCAGGACACTTACATTTCGAGTCCTCCAAAATACACACTCATGTATCAAGTTACACGACTCTTGAAACAGCTCATAGGTCGAATCTTTAGTCACTTTTACAGTTATTAGTCAGCTCATAGGTCGAATCTTTAGTCATTTTTACAGTTGTTTAAGAGTAATGGTTCATAGGCGGCATGATTTACGGAAAGAATTAACTTGAAAACTGAATAATGAATGTTGTATGGGGTGAATTTGTAATTTTGTTATACGGAAAATGAATTTCAAAGTTTACTATAAATATTAATTATAATAAATACAGGGAAATGCTACAGTCCCGTTACGGAACCATTCCGTAAATAAAGGTTACTTAACTTGATTACTTGAAGCATTCTTTCCTTTGAGAGAAGCTGTAACTATTATTGAAAAAAATTGTGTAAATTAATTATACTTAATTAAAAAAAAAAAGAAAAAGATGGCCTGATGATTAAGGATGGCAGCGGTTCGGGATCGGATCGGATGGAATCTCAGGGCACCTAAAACCAAAACCCAAACTTAAAAACCAAAATCAAAACCAAAACTGTTTCGGGTGAAAATCCTTCACCAAAACCAAAATACGCGGATACCCAAAAACCAAACGGATACCCAAAAAACCAAAAATATTATAATAAAACACCAAAGACAACAACATAAAACATGATAACTTAGAGAGTACCAGGTAACCAGTCACAAATTAGCAAGTACCAACGTACAGTACAAGCCATAAAGGTAGTAGAGTACATAGCTAAGTCAAGCCATCACAGGAGACGAGAAGAGGATAAGAGGGAGAGGAAATTTCCACTTGGGTTTTTGGTGGGCTTTTTGATGGGCCGTCTATTTTGGGCACCCAACGGAGCACCACGGGCGAAATATAGGATCCGCACCAAAACCGAAGACTTTCGGGTACCCGAAACCGCAAAACCGTGGGTGAAATTTGAGAACCAAAACCGAAAACCGCAGAACCAAGAACCGCGGATATCCAAACCCGAACCGCTGCCATGCCTACTGATGATATAAAGAACGCGTTATGATCAGCTGGAGCAGCCTGTCATCAATGAGGAAGTAGCGGTGATTATTTAAATAAGTATTTTCAACTTTGAAGAATATCTTGTCTACCATCTAAGTTCATTTAAATGGATTATATAAAATATTAAATACAAATCATATTATAATGGTTACTTTTAATTATTTATGACATGATCTCTTTTAAATATAATATTTTTAGAGTAAAAGAGTGTGTATATTTAAATAGATATAAATGCAATATTTTTTATTGCGGTCTATTGATAAATATGTCTATACTTCTTTTTTTTTCCTTCTAGGTGAGGGAAAGTAATAGGAAAAGCTTAACTTAAATTCAATTCATTTTTTTTAACCTTAAACCTAATTTTTTTTTTAATATTTTACTATTAAATATCATATATATTTATGTATTTTTGTGAAGTAAGATATTTTTTAATTAATAATAAATTTTTTTATTTTTTTTTTTGCTTTTATTTATACATTTTCGTGTCTGAATTTTTATAATCATTGTGTTTGATTTGATCAATGAAGAAAGGTGATTGAGGGCCCTTCTTCATTTATCTTCATATGAGTAATTTTTTTTAACCTGAATTCAGTCCAAAACAGTCATTTCTGTCTTTCAATTTCAATACATATATGGCAGAGTGTGAGAAGTTACATTTTTTACTGCTCATTGTCTTCATATGAGTAATTTTTTTTAACCTGAATTCAGAACACAATAATTTGAGCAACAAACCTCTGCAATGTCACCAGTTGTGGGACCTTTTTTAATTTCATCTGCCTATTTATTGAAACATCAAATAAAAAATAAAATAAAATAAAATAAAAACCCCACGTATGATTGTTATAGGTTTTTATTTACAAATACCTTCTATATATAAATAATTTGAATTTATAAATTATTTCCATATCATAAATATACATATATATTCGTGCTTAACCAAGATTGTTAATTGAAATTGAAAAATATAATATTTTATTGTAAAAAAGTACACTTCTTTTGGGCTGTAAAATATGACTATGTTTGTTTGTCATAAAATTTTACACAATCAATTTTAATTCGTTGAATGGGTCCACACTGAATTTTATGGACTGTATTATAATATAATATTATAATATAAAGAGAACAACTGGAATTCTTTTATCTTTTCGTATTACATTTTTCGTGTTGGAATTTAATTTAATAATTAAATATTGTAAGTTGTCTAACATCGTTCATATAGATAAAACAAACATAATTTATAAGTGGCTACTCCTCATTTAAACAATTGGTTTTAGGATGGAACATCACTTGGACTTTATCTGGGTTTCTCCGTTTCTTACATGATATTAGAGCCACTTCTATCGGGATCTATTAGGGACCGTGAGTCGGTTCTATCTGGATCTAAATAGGACCGTGCGATGACGTACTCGCGACCCAACCTAATTGGGCTTAGGCTATTCACAAGTGATGGAGACGTATTAGAATATTTACTCCCAATCCAGTTGAGTTTGAGACTCCCAACATAGTTGGGGTTAGGCTACTCACAAGTGAGGGGAGCGTATTAGAATATTCACTCCCAACTCAGTTGGGCTTGGGACTCTCAACCTAGTTGAGCTTAGGTTACTCACAAGTGAGGGAGGCGTATAATCTAGCGTATTAAAGATTAACTCCAAACTCAGTTGGCTTGGGCTATTCACAAATGAGGGAGGCGTATCAGAATATTCACTCCCAACTCAGTTGGTCCCAAGTCAATTGGGTTTAAACTACTCACAAGTGAGGGGGGCGTATTAAAATGCTAAGGGAAATTTCATCTATACTGTACAATATTAAAATATTTATAAACATGCCATAGTCAAATCTATTATTGCATCCATACCACATACATGGCAGTTAATTGAAAAAATGCTACGATTTCAGTTACCAAATCTTTTATTGCATCCTTGATTTGTGGATGTATTAAATTACCAATTTCCATTTAAAAAAAAAATCTTGAAATACACACGGTAAGTCATTATATGCTACTAATTAGGAGTTTGTTGAGAAGAAATAGGAAAGATAACAAGATTGAATTTCAAACGACCTTAGCGTATAACTATTTACAAATCCCAGAATCCTAAATACATATATTTCGGCAAATCAGGTACTTTTGTGCAGGTCAAACTCTTTTTTGTTTGTTTTTTTAACTTCGGATCTAATTAACAGTATATTAAACGTATATGTTCTGTTTATCTCTCTCTCTCTCTCTCTCTCTCTCTCTCTCTCTCTCTTTTGCGTTATTTATATCTCGTGTTTTTTATGTATACATGATATATACAGAATATATACAGAAGATATACAGAAAACATATAAGTCCGAGAAATATATGAAATAACCTGGTAATTTTGTCTTTTCGTAATCCTTTTTTCTTTCACGATCAGACTTATATACAGAAGATATACTCATTATATACAGACGACATAAATAAAATACACAACAAATGTAGAGAAGATAAATTAATCTTGTCATTATATACATAATACAAACAGAAGATATACACACATTAGACTGTCGATTGTGCTTACGAAAACATATACTGAAAATATATTGTCTATACACGTAACACGTACTGCCGACATCTCCACGAGCCCGAGCTTCGGGCCTCGCCTTCGTCCCCTCCAACTTGACTTCCCGCTGAGAAGGAAAAGGGGAGGAAAACATTACAGGATCTGAAACCGACGAGCGACTAGAAGCAATGCTCTTCAACCGACACATCATATTCATTTTACTTTACCAAATCTAGTCAGCAATCAAAAATCAAATTCCCAAATGGAGATTCTTTCAAACAGACAAAAACAAAGATTTTCTTTTTCTATTATATATAATGTAGAAATCTCTCCCTTTTTTCTCTTTCCCCTTATCTTCAACTCGCTCGTCAACCCATAAAAGAATGACAAAAGCCCACAATTAGAAATCAGGTAAGAGCAATCGATAACCCTCCCAACAATGAACAAATGCAGGGAAAAGGGATTGAAGGGCAAAAAAGTATGAAACATTTTATAGGTCTGTGAGCAAAGAAGAAATCTCTCTTTCCTTCTCTCTCTCCTCTCTCTCGGTCTGAAATCAAGGAAAAACAAGAGATAGAAACATGAGATTGAAATATCCAAATCTTAGTATATATTCAAAAAAGTATAATAATTTTGGTTACTTTGGTAATAAATATATAAGGGTTGTAAATGTGCAATAAACATGAAATTGTTTAGTAGACTATGCAGTTTTCTCAAAATGTTAACTCTCAACCCAATTGGGCTTGGGCTACTCACAAGTGAGTGAGACGTATGTATTAGAATATTCACTCCCAAATCCCAACCCAATTAGGATTGAGCTACTCACAAATGAAGACATATTAAAACATTTATTTGTGAGTTGTCTCACATCGTTTATATAGGAAAAATAGGCTTTATCCTGTTTCTTAGGACGTGTTTGATCAGAGGAAGAAAGCTGAATGAGGGGAGGGTCCTCCATTTATTACTCAGTCCAAAGAGTTTCTCTTCATGATGTTTGTCCTTTTTCAGTATTTTACCATTTTTTTTTCAGTATTTTTATTGTTAGGCCTGTGATCAATCATACATTCTTTTCTTAACAAAAAATGTAGATTTATATTATGAAATAATAAATTTTAGTTGATGTTATTTTGTAAAGTATGACATTTTAATTTAAAAATATATATATTTATTTAGAAAAATAAATGTGATAACTGTTAGATGTGCCTAACAATAGCTTTACCGTTGTATAATATATATTGGTTGATCATATCATCATTCGCATATTGTTAGGACTTAAGAAATTACCTTTCTACTTTGCCTCCATTTTAGACTATTTCATTTTTCTGAGTTCACATATTTGATTCAAAATCAGAAATTTTGACTAACAGAGAAAATGACACACTTGATGAAAATTTTAATTATTTATTTCTTGAGTAATTGCCACAGCTCGAAGTTTAGAGTTTTTTTTTTTTTAATTATTTATTTTTTATCTACCGCAAAATTAAATTGATTTTTTTTCTCAAAAGATTGATATGATTCAATTAATGAAGTTGGAAATTTATTTTTGGCAAAAGAAAATTCACAAACGGTTGCTTGTTTCAGAAGAACAAATCATTTATAAAAAAAAAGGCCACCAATTGATGATGAATTATGAATACTATTATTACCTTTTATATTGTAATTCATTTTTTTTTTTGGGGAACTTTCATCGCGATATATTTAAGGACGAGTTTTGAATTGTCGAGAATCGTTTAAAGAGTTTCTCCACAATCAAAATGGTATTTCAAAACCATATTATAATAACAATTTTAAATTCAAACATAAAAATTAAATTCGAGTTTCCTGACGTCGAACACCATTCAAATAATTTCCATTTGCTCAAAACTTACTTATAAACGTTCCGCAAGACATGTGACACACCAATAAATTATTAACAAAAATTATAAACGTTCCTGTGCAGGTATTTCCAAGCTCTATTTCGCCATGCGCACTTGCCCCCCCCCATGTTTTTAGTGCAGCGCAGCATGCTTTTGATCTGGCCCTTCGCGCTAGTTTAGAGCGTATTGTTACCGCGTCTGGTCCCGGGTTTGGTGACTGGCAGTGGCGGCTTGCCACCTTGCCTTTTTCGTTTGGAGGCCTGGGAGTCTATTGTGCTGGGGACGTGGTAAATTATGCATTTCTGGCGTCCAGGCTTCAGTCTGCAGGGTTACAGGATAAGCTTCTCCTTCCTTCTGGGATCGCTGATGCGGGCATTACCTTTGGTGATGCCGTGGAGGTGTTTAACAGGGTTGCAGATACTGACTTATTTGGTGCTTCTAGTGAGATTGCTGCCCCCAAATTCATGAAGAAATTGGCAGATATATATTTCACTCGAGTTACCGATTCGGCGGAATCTGTATTCTCCTTATCTCCTAGGCAGGTGGCCTTGTGGAAGTCGCAACAGGGTGATCACGCATCAGATTGGCTCCGCGCAGTCCCGATTTCTGGGCTAGGGCAAATGATGAATGGTAAGACCTACCGTGCTGTGCTCTGCTATCGGTTAGGTGTGCCATTATTTTCCATTTCCAGACCATGTTCGGCTTGCTCTCGGGTCTTTGACGGAGATATATTTGGCGATCATGCGGTGTCATGTGCCGGTGTGGTTGGCATTAAACATCGCCATAACCTTGTTCGCGATACTCTTTCAGATGTCTGCTTTCGCTCCGGGATCTCTGTTGGTAAGGAGGTCGATATTGGACTCCTTGATGCGCAAGATAGACCACTTCGCCCTGCTGACTTGTTACTTTACTCATGGGATAGGGGGCTTGACGTTTGCGTCGATTTGACTGGTTCCTCGCCCTTGACCCAGTTCGGGATGTCTGACTTTGTTTCGGGACGTGTTGTGGTTGATGCCGCTCAGCGCAAACGGGCAAAATATGACGCCTTGTGTGCAACTAAGGGCTATGGATTTCTTCCATTCTCTTTCTCTTCATTGGGGGAGTTGCACACGGAGGCCATCGCCCTACTCAAGAGGATACAGAAGTATTCTATATCTCAGGATGCTGGAGCACGTGCCGCTCCTCATATTTTCACTCGTATTAGCTTTTCCATTGCTAAAGGAGTGGGGGCCCAGATAGTATCTCGGCTCCCCTCCAATTTCT